GGACACCTTTTTGTAATCATTATCGAAGAACTGCTTCCTACCAACAGTACCCCTTCCAGACAATCTACCTTCATGTCGATGAACAGGAATGCCAATGGCATTAGCATCCTTTATGTAGTCCATACAACACTCGACTGCCTCTTCAGTTGTGTATCCCTCTATCATTGATCCTTCCGGGTGAGCGCGATTGTGTACATAGCCTTTGAGGATCGACATGTAACGCTCATAGGCCCACATCTGATGTAAGTATAATGGACCAAGTTCAATAATCTGAGGGACGATGTGAACGATCAAATGCTCCATCATATCTAAAAATGATGGTGGGAAATACATCTCAAGCTGGCATACAGTCTCGACGGCAAATGTCTGAAGCGGACCTAATTCCAAAGGATCAAATACTTTTTGCGAAATTCGATTGAAAAAGTAGCACAACTTTGTTATAACCACCTTTGTATGGACTGGTTTGACTGCCCTTATAGCAATTGGTAGGAACACTGTTAGCAACCTATGACAGTCATGCGCATTGTATCCCGAAATGGACAAATCCTTTATTGATACTAGCTTCCTGATGTTCGATGCGAAACCAGTAGGCACTCTAACCCCTTGTAAACATTTACAGAAGGCTTTTTTCTCATCAAGTGTCAACGAGTAACAAGCAGGAGGAATCTCGGTCTTCCCATTTGGCAGCAGTACTGGGTGAAGGTCATGCCGTATGGACAAATCTACAAGGTCGTTACGTGACTTCAATCCATCCTTCGTTTTACTCGGGATGTCCAGCAATGTGCCAACGGTGCTATCAAACACGTTCTTCTCGAGGTGCATAACATCAATTGCATGTCGAATCTCTAGGTCCTTCCAGTAATCTAAGTATTTAAAGAAAATTGAGTGCTTCTTGAAAGGCGACGCAGTACCGTTGTCACCATCAGCTTTCTTCCTCTTTACTGTCTTCTTCTTTCCCTTTCCATATACAACCTTAATCTTCTTTGTTATCTCATACACGTATGTACCACCTCTTGCTACTGGGGCAGTGTCATTCTCCACTGTATTATCGAACAATCTAGCCATCTTACGGTACCTATGTCTTTGTGGTAGGAACCGTCGATGTCGCATGTACACTGTCTTCAAAGACGACGTCAGGTATTTGTATGAAGTTTTCTCCAGACATATCAGACATCCAGTCTTCCCTTTAATCTGCCCAGATAATGAAAAGTTTGCAGGTAGGTCATTGATGGTAACGAATATGATTGCACGTAGATTGAAGTGCTCCCGCTTAAACTCATCCCATAGTCGTAACCCCTCTTTCCAAAGCTCCTCCATGTCCTCCATCAAAGGCTCAAGGAAAACATCTATGTCGATTCCAGGTTGGTTTGGACCTTGTATGAGGATAGTGAGTAGAATGTACTTTCGTTTCTGACATATCCATGTTGGAAGATTATACATTGTGAGAAGGACTGGCCATGTGCTGTGCGAGCTGCTTAAGTCACCAAACGGGTTCATTCCATCAGTGCTCAACGCAAACCTTACATTCCTAGGATCCTTAGCAAATTCTGGGTGTTTTGCATCAAATGTCTTCCACTGGCGAGCGTCGGCGGGATGTCGAATCATACCATCTATTTTCCGGCTCTCTTGATGCCATCTCATCAACTCAGCATCAGTCGGGTTTGAGTACAGACGCTTCAGGCGGTCCTTAATTGGTAGGTACCACATCACCATTGAAGGAATCTTCCCGCGCTTACCCTTATCAGAATCTGGATCGGTACACTCTGAATCTACGGGCCCATTCCCCGTTTTATACCGACTTGTGCCACACGTTGGGCAACATTCCAATTCCGCATATTCTTTACGGTATAATATGCAGTGATTCTTACAAGCATGAATCTTTTCTACACCAAGAGATAAAGGACATATGAGTTTCTTCGCTTGATACGTGTTCGATGGTACAAAGTTAGGCTTAGGAAGCAACACACGCAACAAACTCATCAGATCATTAAAACTTGTGTCCGACCATCCATGTTTAGCCTTCAATCTCAGAAGTTCAAGCACTGAACGCAAGACTGTGAAATCCTTATCACATCCCTTCGTTTCATCGTAAAGAAGATCCTTCGATGCCTTCTCTAATGCTTGCCAATTCTCCAATCCTCGTGACCTGCCCGCTAGCACCTCTGGTTCAACATGGCGTAGCATATCCTCTAAATCAAAACCACCATCGAAATCATCACTATCGGTGGAAACATCGACAATCATTCTTTCACGCGACATGTCTTCGATTATAAAATTCTCTGCCTCATTCATCTCGAAACTTAACTCTTCATCGTCATCTTCCGGATTGGCGAATTCCCCGTGATAGGTCCAAACCTTGTAGTTGGCGGTGAATCCGTACTCCATTATGTGACCCAATATTTCACCAGGATCTACCAACAATTTCTGATTCTTGCAATGACGGCACGGACAAAAGATCTTTGTCATATTCTCCCTCAAAGCATGCTCCTTAGCCCTGATCAATAAATTTAGATGCTTCCTTAATAAATATCGGCTGCGTTCTCCGCATCTCATACATCCATGACGACCGATCCATCTAATTATATAAAGGCAAAAAAGTTACAGATAAAAAAATAGACCGCAGGTATTTCATACAAAAGTTTAAATGCATTTGTCTCCCAAAAAAAATACAACAATACATGTAACTAGTATGTACAATTGATTACATGCAAAATTTGCCCATCAAAACATATATTTTGAAGCTAGATTTTGCAAAAAATAGTTGGAACAAACCTTGTCAAAATATTAAAAAAACTCCACTTTCCACCAACGAAATATAACAAAAATGGAGCCAAATGAAGCAAGATAGAGAGTTCTTCACCTTTCGTATAGAGTTCAAGTAAAAATTTCGAGTTGAAAACCTCCCCCCCTAATTGGTGCTTGCTTTAGGAGAGAGAAAGCTTCGTTTTCAAATGGTCAAGCTCGGGCCTGGAGGAGCATATATGGCGGATCTTCGCATGCGGCTAATCAACCCGCCCCGGGGGGGGCGGTTTTTGCAGGCGCCGCCACAAGCGGCCCGCATGGAACCTACCGACCCCCTCGTACAGAAAAACGATTTTTGTAGTAGTGGAGTGCGTAGAATTTAATTATATATACTTTAGCACGACTCTCTCTTCTGTAGAAATCCTATGGACGGCAGATGTGTCCTAGCGACATAGACTTGCAAATACATTCTATGTTTCATATTATAAGATGTTTTGGGTTTTTTTAATAGATTCATATAACTGCTTTATATATGTATCCAAATTTATATAGATGTTAGTGAATCTAGAATGGAGTGGCCAAACGTATTATAATGTGCAATGGACGGAGTATAAACTAGCAGCAGTTGGGGATAAATTAAATTTATTTTTTACCAAGAAATATTTGTGTTTGCATAAATACGTGTGTACTAAAAATCCTAGTCATGAACAGACAACTCTACCATCCAACCGGTTTGTTTCACTAATTCACCAAGCAACTTGTTAAGCATTGGATAAATTTTATTAAAAAGTTAATAGGCTGAATCTGAGACTTATATTTTATTATTATCTCCATGAGTTATAAATCTGCCTCCTCACCCTAAATTATCTTGAACTAAGATTATTGTAACATCCTGGCCTAGGGCTTAATAGGATTAATAGAATACTCATATCAACAAATTGCAACTTCTTTTCCGGAAGCCAATCTCCAAAGAACTTCAGGGTTAAGCGTGCTTGGCCTGGAGCAATTTGGGATGGGTGACCGACCGGAAAATTCTTCCCGGGTGCATACGAGTGAGGACAAAGTGTGTAGAAAAGACATGTGAGCAATTTGGGATGGGTGACCGACCGGAAAATTCTTCCCGGGTGCATACGAGTGAGGACAAAGTGTGTAGAAAAGACATGTGTTGGTCTGTGAGGGCAGTCTATGACCTATGAAAGCTATCAGATGTAAGCGAGCCCGGCCTGGGGGAAGGCGGGACGTTACAATTATTGTTGCCACCCTTAAAAATAGGCCTGCCCGGAAGGCGGGACGTTACAATTATTGTTGCCACCCTTAAAAATAGAGAATTTTTACGGTACAATAACCATTAAAAATAGAGAATTTTTACGGTACAATAACCAGTATATACTGGCAGTATATAAAAGGGCATATATATTAGGAATTTGATAGAAAATTAAAACAACACTTTAGTAATTTTTGGTTCAAATTGAATCTAATTGACCTATGAAAGCTATCAGATGTAAGCGAGCCCAGCCTGGGGGAAGGCGGGACGTTACAATTATTGTTGCCACCCTTAAAAATAGAGAATTTTTACGGTACAATAACCAGTATATACTGGCAGTATATAAAAGGGCATATATATTAGGAATTTGATAGAAAATTAAAACAACACTTTAGTAATTTTTGGTTCAAATTGAATCTAATTGAGAGTACCCGTTCCTGGATCTTATCGTGCATTAGGGGAGGAGCATCCTGAGCGCCATTTGATGACAAGGCACATGACGATAGCACGATTTGATGATAGAATAACGAAGAAAAGATAAAATTACCCTTTCAAAGTTTATACTGCAATCTAATTAAATAAAAAATTAAATCAATCTACACCGTTAGATCATATATACTTGCAGTATATACTAGCAGTATATTGTATGGCTGAACTCAATACTTATAAGCCAATCAAACAAAACCTCTTATATGTACAGAAGCTTCTCATACACTCATCCAAACGATATCTCACCATATCTAGGACCAACCAATCTAACCAATGAAATAACCCCATTTGTACCTACCCAGGCCGCCGAAATGGTCGATTGACTCCTACATTGGTTAGAGTGGTGCGGATAACCAAACAAACACTCTATATTTTTTCAATTCGCGTGGTATATATAATCAACAAAACAATGAAATTGGAACGGCTATATAACCATGCAGGAAATAATTATCAATTGCCTTTTCAAATAAGGTACTACTAATTAATTGCCTTCCCAAATAATTACCTGTGTCAATGACACCAATTATAGTGCCATCCCCATATTTAGCTTTAGCAAGCAGGCCATTTGGTTGCCTGTAGTCCATTCCAAGAAAATCCCAGCTTCGACTGGTATGCATTTGGTGGATTTGGTTCTCTTTCACGCTGACCATGTCACGACCGGAAATCACCCAACAGGCGTTCCTGACGTGCGTGTATTATTCCTTGTCCCAGGAGGCAAGGTACACCAAAAGTTGATACAATTCAGAGTTTATCAAGCGGAAGCGTAAATAAAATTATTACATGGGCAACGAAGGCCCAGCACACTCAAAGACAACGAAAAACAGCGGAAGACTAGGGCGACGACCACAGGCGCTTGACGGCAGGCACGAGCTAGACACCAAAGCCTTCATCTTCAAGGAGCTCCTCTTCTGGACTTGGGAAAAATTGAGCAAGACTGAGTACAACCACCGTACTCAACAAGACACACCCACAAATGCAGAATAAATGCAAGGGAGTACAAGGGAATAATAATATAGGGATTAAGTTTTGCAGTAAACAGCATTTAAAAGTCACTTAGTTGCCCAAAGCTATTTTGTAAAGACGATCCTAGAGCTATACAATATTATTAATCAAGGCCGTGAACCCTCACGAACCTGCCTTAACCCAAGGCCTACGATGATTCGGACCGAACTGGCAACCCGACCTGGGTTCCAGCTCGTCCCAAGCCAACCCAGGCCAACCATTCCACATTTTAGTTGTTGAGCAAATTTTAAGAATTAGAACACTGACTTGGGTACATTGCTCGGCTTGCCCATATCCGAGGGCTCGGCTATTCGAATAGATTTACTCTGATCAGAGGTGTACATCTTTACCCACAAGACACATCTTCCTCACGTGTTGCCACGTGCCACATACCACCACGGTATCCGGACGGAAGACGTGACATAGTTTCCAACCCATCCTAGCCTTAGACAAGAGTACCGACCCAATCCTACCTACGGCCGGGATACCCGGGACAGGCAGGCAGAACTGAGCCCCTAGCATTGGGCACCAACCCTCCGCCGTATGACATCTCGACTACCGGGCCGCAGCTCGTGTAGCCTTCATTTGCCCTGGAGAATGTCCATCGACGCCCGACTTCATCCATCTCCAATCCGTGTACTTTTGTTTATGACTAGACTGAGCCACAAACTAAGCCTTACCCATTAGACATGTGGAAGTACGGTAGTGCTTTGCAACAGAGGCCCGAGCTTAATCCTTATAGTGGCCGGGGTGCTACTTCCCACAACTGGCATGCACCCAAACCCCACCGAAAACAGGTTTTAGGGGTTTTGAAAGGGGAAGAGAGGTGTGTGTCCAATTCCAACATAAGCCAACCATTCCATGGTGTCCAAATGATATGAGAATACCCAAAGTCTAAAGTTATAAAACCACCTAATGTTGTCCTATTAATCAGCGAAGCATCTACCTAAATTCATACTAGTGGAACCAGGAATAGAGTACCCACTAGTTGGGGTTTTATTTATTCTAGGGTGAACAAGGAAATAATAGCAATAACAATATTAAGGTCATAACAAAGGTAAATAGGCATGGCTAAATAAAACAGTGATAACGCGGGAATTTAAATAAAGCGGTAATGCAATAATTTAAATCAACATAATTTTACAAACTGGGATTCAATATGTTCAAAGATGATGTGACTTGCCTTGCTCAGAGAGAACGGCCTTCCGAACCTTCGGCGACGACCGCGAACCACGCTTCGGGAACCTCCGGAACGACAGAAGCTACGCGAAGCACACAAGCAAAGCTACAAGCCTATAAAGAAGCAATAACAATACATAAAAAGAAAGCACAGGGTTCTTTAGGTTATAACAAACATTAGGAGACTTGAACGGGTCGATTCGGAGCTCGTATGACCAGGATATGATCATCCGAAGTTTAATGCTGTTATATGGAGATTTGCGGATTATTATAATTAAGCTTTGCAATTATAAAACAGGTGTAAGCGCTAGCCTGGAAGAGACAGGAAGGCTGCGCTGTTGACATGCGGACCCCACATGTCAACCTAAAGGACCACGGTAGACCGAGTACACAGAGACGGTCCACGGGTCGACGGAAGCGGATCCCGTGTGTCAACCGAGGCGAGTGGCCGACAAACGGACTCCACTAGACACCACACGGGTTGCACACGTGGAAACCACGCGGCTACCGAGCGGGCACACTAACACGGACACTACACGGTCACCACCCGCGCGCGTGAACGACTACCGACACCGGTACACGGGTACCGGGGTCGTCAACCGCACAACGGGCACGGGCGACACCGAAAGGACGAGAACGGGGCAGCGAGAGGACGGATCCTTACCACCACGCGACGAGGCGTGGGAACGACAACGACGAACGGGCGCGGCGGAGACAGACGGGCACAACGGAGACGAACGGCGAGGGGACGGCTTCGGCGGCGATCCTTGGGCGAAGGCGAGACGCGGCCGGCACGAGGCTTGACGACGCGGAACCGAGGACGAACACGAGGACGGGGCTGCAGCGATCTTGACGAAGCGAGGACGACGAACGAGAACGGCTTGACGGAGGGACGAACGCCACGACGACCGGGAACGACGAGAGGATGACGACGACGACGACGACGACGACCGGGACCGGCGAGGAGGCGACGAGGACAGCCGGCAGCGGCTGCACGGGGACGAGGACGACGAGGACCACGCCGCTACGATGCCGACGACGGAGGCGGCGCCGCGAGACGACGAGCCGGGCGACCGACGGGACGTCGACGACGAGAACGATCGGAGACGACGATGATGGACCGCGGAGGGGTTTGGATGGAGGGGAAACGATGCCGAGGACGACCTTGCCGCTGCGATGCCGGAGGTGGTGGAGGTGTGGTCGACCGGTGCACGGCGAGGAGGGACAGGCGGCCGAACAACTCCGGCGAGGCGGATGTAGAGGTTCGCGGCGATGGCGTTCCGGCGAAACCGAGGAGTGGACGAGGTGGAGGGCTACGCCACCACGCAAGGGAGAGATGGCAGCGCCGGCTGACGCATGGGCATGGCGAAAAGGGCAGCCGGGGGAGATGCCGCCGAGGAGGAAGGAGAAGCCGGCGCGGGCGACGGTGTTCCGGCGAAGTTCGGGCGAGGAGGAGGTGATGCCGGGGGTGGGAGCGGCGTCGTGGAGCCGAGGAAGGTGGTGGCGACGTCGGCCGGCGCTCCGGGGACGTGGCAGAGGCGGCCGGAGGCGGAGAAGTGGTGGCGACGCCACTGGACGCCGGCGAGGACGCGTCTCCGGTGCTTTCCCCGCGAAACGGAGGGCTGACCGAGGGAGAGGGGGCAGCTGCGACGCCGGGAGAGGTGGCGGCGCAGCCGGAGGGTGCACGGGTGAGGCGGGAGGTGCGGCTGGAGGTGGCCGGCTCGGAGAAAAGAGGAGGGCGACGGCGGGAAGGCAGCTCCGGGGGTCACCTCGCGAAACGGAGGGCAAGCCGGGGTGGAGGAGGTGGCGGCGACGCTGGAGGAGGTGACGGCGCGGCCGGACGACGCTCCGGCGAGGCGGGAGAGGCGGCTGGAGGCCGGCCGGCACCGGAGAGAGAGAGGGCGACGGTGGGGAGGGAGCTAGGGACCACGGGGAGGCTCGGGATGGGGCTAAAACGAGAGAACGGGGGATGAGGATCCCATTTTATAGGATGGGGGAGGGAGCCGGCCACGGGAGGCGCGGGAACGGCGACGGGAATGGTGGCCGGCGGCAAAGGAAGGCGGCCGGACTTGGCGCGGCCGTTCCCGACGATTGGGGGCGGCATTCAAGGGGGGAAAACGGGGGAATTGAAGAGGATTCAATGGGGATTAAAACCCCCTAATCAATTTTGGAATTAACCGAGTGAATCAAGCGGATTTGAGGGAGGATTGGCGCTAGGGTTCACGGGAGAGGGAGAGAGGACGGCCGGGCGGGAGGAAGGGGACGACGCCCGGCCTGGCGCGTGGGACCCACCGGTCAGGCGGCGGCGTCAGCGCGCGCACGCGCGCTGCACGGGCGGGGCGCGGCTAGGGCAGGGCGGCTTGGGCCGGGCGGCCGGCCCAGGAAGAGAGGAGGGGAAGGCGGCCTGGGCCGAGCAGGCCGGGAGGGAAGAGGGGGGGGAAAAAGGCAGCCCGGGAGAGAGGGAGGAGGGAGCTGGGCCGAGAGGGGGAGAGGCCCAAGAGGAGGAGGGAGAGAAGGAGAGGGAGAGAAAGAGAGGGAGGAAAGGGAGACTTTGGGCTGGGCTTGGCCCAAAGGAGGAAGAGGATTATTTTTAGGTTTTTCTTTTTAATAAACTTTGTTAATTGTTGTTGTTGTTTAATAAATATTTCCGGTGCTCTGAAAATTCAAGTAAAATTTGAGGGCTCCTTTTTAGACCAAGGAGAATTTAACAAAAATTCTCCGGGCCACATTTGAATTTTTCTTGTACGTATTTTTAGCGTTTGCCAATTTCTTTTCGCATTTTAATTAATTCTATTATTCCTTTTAGCGAATGATTTTTAATTCGGGATGGATTTATCAGGACGTGACAGACCACATCTGACAACCCTAGAATATATCAATGTAACCAATCCAACAAGAGTGAGCATGCAATTAGAATCATCAAAACATACATACATACATACATACATACATACATATATATATATATATATATACATTCTCGAAATTTCGCGGAATTCGACCGGTTTTCGTCAGAATTGTAAACCCTGATCTTGACGACATATAGGGAATATATGATGATCTCTTTTATGATGCTAATTGGGTTGCAGCATTAATTTTAGGGCAACTGCAGCCCTAGATAAAGGATTAGTTAAGGGCGCCCTTCATCCATCTAGATGTATGATCAGGATTCTTCATTGTAGTGAATTAACATGCTAAGTTATTTAGATTAGTGAAGATAAATATGTAAGGAGCCATCAACTCTGGATTACAATAAAAGCATAACAAACACAAGTGCAGGAAGGCAAAAACAAAAATCAATATAGAAAATAGAAGGTGAATTAGTGGTTCTCTGCTGTCACTGTTCATGATTGTACTACCAGCTTGCAAAGATGTAACTGCTTTAGTTCCCACTCACATAGGCACTCACTGCAGCAAATCCTCTCTGAGATTGCCATAGATTCTAGCAAAATGTTCTCTGTTGAGTCCTTTCTGCAGTGAGTAGCCTTTATACCACCCCACTAGTTTTGTCCCTCTAAGAAGAACACGATTTTTGGGGGGGGGGGGGGGGGGGGTTAATTAATAGACCACTTTTGAGATGAACATGTAATTTAGACGTTTCTGTACTAGTATTATATTATAAGTCCATGTTTCTTTAAATTGTTACTTAAGCCCTTCTGATAGTATTCCTATGTAGTGTACATATTAGAACTCTACATACAAGTATAAAAGTATTTTGGACTTGTAATTTCCTAGGCACCGTGTACACAGATTAATCTGCTCATGAAACCAGGACTAACTAGACAAGGTGAGGCCATCGATCAGTTCATCAGAATTGATGATGGTACAGAATTTTTCCACACAAGATATAACTTTGAACAGAGTGACACTCTTGAACAGAATGAATACACATGAAACTGATAAAATATCAAGGGAAGACTACCTAATTTCAGAAATTTCAAACAAATTAAGTGTGGTCCCTGCCCAATTTCTAGCCAAGATCAAAAGAATCTCAGGCAGCCTGAGCATGAATAGAAATTGAAAAGGGGGCTACTTATAGCGGCAAAGCATCAATTAATATCATAAAACTACACCTTGAAACTTAAAAATTGGTAATTAAGAGCAGTTGCTACAAGCATATCTATCTTTCTCAGCTTGTGATTGGCTCAGCTCAACTTATTTCAATTTGTTAACGAGTTGAGATAAGCTTTTAGCTTATTAGATATAATGAGCTAGCTCGAACTGGCTCGTATGCTACTCGCAAGCCAAACAAACCAGCAAGCAGCGGGCTAGCAACCCAAGCCCATCTCGAACCCTAAAACTCCAACCCAGTGCTTATTATCCTCACCCATGGTATGTGGCATTCTTTAAGTTTCAACACAACTCATCCCCTCCATCCACTCATCTTCTTGTGCAGCTCCACTCAATCATAGGTATCAACATTTTGACTGATCTTGCTATGCTTTGGTTGATTATATAAAGTATGGAATTAATAATGCATTTGCTAATTTATATGTTACTAATTTGTAAACTTGAGATGATATTGATTTTAAGTGTTGCTTCACGAGCTTAATGAGCCAGCTCGAGCTGACAAACAAGCCAAGCCGAGTGCGCCATGCTTCTAGCTCGTTAAGATAACGAGCCAAGCCAGCTAGCTCGATTGATATCCACCCCTAAGCACATCGCAAAATTAAGCTTTGAACTTGAAGGTCAAAACAGGAAGAGTTGGCCAAACTAGTGCAGATTATTCTAGCACAACTATAAGTTAATAATTACATAGTTACATGTAGAACTATACCTCAAAATCTCAAATTTACAGGGGTGATAATAGCCTCTATTAACCCAAAGTAGCTCTGCACCTCAAAATCTCAAATTTACAAGGGTGATAATAGCCTCTATTGACCCCCAAAATAGAGCTGCACCTTAGAACTTTGGGTCTTGTATTTCATAGGAGAAAGGAAATTCTTGTCCTTAGACAAGTATTTCACTTACAATTCCAATAAGTTTTGGGCCTTTCTCACTATGAACTCTGGTTTTCTCCTTGTCTGTCAATGCATTATGCAAGGCATGTGTCACGCCCGGAAATTCACAAGTAATTTCCGAACTTATTTGTGTATAAAATCCTCGTCCAAGAATCAGCCGAGGTACACAAACTGACAATTTAATATACAGATTCATCAAATTAACTAAAACGATAAATACTTACTTATGAGGCACTTAGTCCTCAACAAGAAGAAAACTGCAGCGGAAAATAAAATCTAGCGAAGCTCCGGCTCCACTCCCACAGGCAGCTCAACTGGGGTATAAGCCAAACGTCTTCTCCTTCTGGATCCTTTTTCTTCAACTGAGGTTGATTGATTATTGCAAGGTGAGCATATGACATACTCAGCAAGCCACACAACAAATATGCAAGTGCACAAGGATACCAAAGGATGGCATAATATAGGCTCATTTGCAAAAGCAGCATTTAGCAAAACATTTAAGAGAAGTAAAACAGTGGAGTAATTAATCAGAAATTTTAATCAACACTGAACAGCACACCCATGCTGCACAGGCCCAACCATTCTGAACACCATACCCGGCTGAACAGATCTAACTCCAAACCAGGAGCTAAGCAAATTATTACCAGGTATAACATCCATAATTATTATGGGAGGTGTGGGACTAATCACGAAAAACATTGCTCAACCCGCCCATAACCGCGGGCACGGCTATTCGAATAGTTTTACTCTGGCCAGAGGTGTACCACTGTACCCACAAGACACAGCCTCAACATCATGTCTACCATGCGTCGCGATACTGGAAAGTACCCGAATAGAGGCTGTGACAATACCCTCTGCACAACACAACTCACCACAGTGCACCATTCCTGGATCATAATCACCCCTCAAAAACCAGAGGCATGGACTCCCCAGCGACCCCCGTGGGCTTATCTCCGCCACTTCTCAGTCTGGTGCTCCGCAATGAATCATGTTATACAAAAGGTAAAGCCGTTTCCCACGCTGGCTTGTGGTTGGCACGGTTAATGTTTCACAACAGTAGCTCGCGAACCGGTCCTTAATTGCCATGAGCACGACTCTCAAAACCATGTGCTCACAACCCACCATTATCAAGTTTTAGTTTGCAAGTAATTAATTGACCAATCACGATTGACCATCGTGAACTATCTTTAAACCATCATTAAATAATAATGAGTCATAAGTTATCCCAATAATGTGCTAATGTTTCTAAGCATGGCTAAGCAATCATATCTAATATCTAGCTGAACCAATATATAAAGGTCAACTAGTCAAGTTATAATATCCCAAGGTATCAAGGAATAGAGTAATCAATGCAAACAGGCCATAACAAAGGAATAGGTTCACACCACCCGGTGACATTCAAAAATAAATGCACAGTTGAAATAAATAGAGAATTTAAATATAGGATCAACATGCTCAAAGGATTGTGTTTAGGATCTGTGTGACTTGCCTTGCAATAATCGGTCTTCAATTAATCTTCTTGAATACTTCCGGCGCACTCGCGACCCTTCGCAACGACGGAAACGACAAGCTAACACGCAAAACGAGGAAAAAGACTAATAAAAACCAAATAAACAATACATAAAAAGTAAACAAACATGTAGATCATAATTTTAGATGAATTATGAGACTTGAACGGCCTCATTCTGACTTAATATGAATTTAATATGAATTTTACAAGATTAAATCTAATTAAAGCCCATTTAAAAAGAATTAAATAAATTTAATTCAATTTATGGACAATTTTAATATGTAGATCTTTATTTTATATAATTTTTGCAACTTGAACCACATTAAACTGAGTTCAAATGAATTAGTTATGAATTTTCAAAGATTAAATCGGATTAAAACACTTATATGGATTTTAATTGAATTATGACGCAATAATGAATTATTTTTGAAAAGGAAAAGAGGATTATTGCGTCAGCGGCTAAGGTTTGCGGTGAACCGGGTGCACGGCAGCGGTTCACGGAAACGAACGGCCGAGATCAACCCTATCCAAAACGGACGGCCGAGATCGATTGGTCCACGACCGGGCCACGGGGAACGGCAACGATGACGTCAGCAACGACGTCAGCGATGACGTCAGCACCGGCGGCGGCTCGGGAGCGCAAGCTCGCCGGCGAACGACGGCGCGAGGACGCAAACGGAGGGCACCAACGGGTAGAGCGCGACGCGGCGAACTCACCGGTGACCAAAGCAACAGCGGAGGAGCAACGGATGGCGCCGGCGACGAGGAAGAAACGGCGGCGGTTTTCGGGTCGACGGTGACGGCGGTGCTCCGGCGGTCTCCGGCGGCGACGAAGAGGCGGACGAGGACGGCGGCGACTTGGCGACCACGATGGCGACCTCCCCGAGCGACGACGACGACCGGAACGGCGGCGGCGCACGGCTGGAGCGGCGGCGACGACGGCGGCTCGAGGTTAGACGGCGCTAGGGCGCTTCCGACGGCGAGAGACGAAGGCGAGGGTGGCGGCGGGTAGAGGAGACACCGGGGATCCTTTTAAAGGGGCTAGCGAGCTGCGACGGAGGCCCACGGCGACCGGAGATGGGAAGGAAAGGTTAGGGTTCGGAGGAAAGAAACCGATCCGATTCGACCTCGAATCCACGAGTTTCCAAACCGAATTAGGCGATGATTCCATAAGAGAAAAGGAAGAGGAGATCGAGAAGATCGTTTCCCCTCAAAAGATTTCACTGGATCGGGAAAGACGCGGCCGAAATTGGAAAGCGGCGGCGGCGCGGCTCGGCTAGGGTTTCGGGCGGCGGCGGCTTGACGAAGACGATGGATCCGACAAGCGGGCCCCACCTGTCAGTGACCGAACGCGCGCGCGCGGCTGCGGACTAGGCCGGCTGGGCCGAGGAGGGAGAGAAAAGGGTTTTGGGCCGACTTTCGGCCCAAAGCCAAAAGAAGACTTTTAAAAACCTTTTTCAATTTAAATTATTTCTTAAATGCAATTCCATTTATTAAAAATACTTCCTTAGCTCAAATAAATCCCAAAAAAATCTAGGAATTATAGAATTAAGAAAAGTATTTAACAAAATTTTATCTAGCCCAATTTTATATTGAGATTTAACAAATTAAAATTAGATCTTCTCTTTTAGGCTTTTAAAATCATTGCTAATAATTCCTTTTAAACAACAATTTATAATTTAAGGATTTTTAAACAAGAAAAGCTCTTAACAATTATAATTAGATCATTAATGATCAAATAATTACTGAACTGTTCTTTGTATCATTTAGGAATTGAGCTCTGAAAAATCCGAGAAAATTTCAGAGAGTTGACTTAATCATGGAGAATTTAATAAAAAAATTAAATCCATCCATGCTTTAGATTTAAGAAATTTTATTTCCCACATTTAACTTCACTTGTAAATTAAAGAACATTTAATATAAATTCTATTATTAATTTATTAAATAATTTATAAATCCTGAAACGAAAATCAGGATGTGACAGCATGTGCATCTCGTGCAAAAAAAAAGAAGGGATTGCTCTGTCTTTCCATGTCTCCTAGACTCTTAGCTAGACATATCAGGATTCAAGGCACAAATTCCCAACCCAGCTTAAACATTAGAGCATCCATCAAGTCACACAGTCTCCTCCTGCACACTTCATCCCATATCAGCAATGCCACGGTGCCCCAAAATCCAAGTGCAAAACACCCAAAAACGTAGGACCAGAAAACAAGTGACGTGTCAATGGCGTCGAACACTCCTTGATTCTGATGCAGCACTGATGAGCAGTTTTTGTTGATGATTTCACCACAGAGATTGTCATTCCCCTCGAATGCCGATTCATCGAATGTCCCAAGCTGTTGTTGGAAGGGTATCTCACCAGAGAGGTTGTTGTAGGCGACATTGAACGAGCACAGGAAGGAGAGATTTGCCAGCTGCATAGGCAGGCTGCCATTGAGGTGGTTGTATGAGAGGTCAAGGCTCTCCATATCCTGCATATACATGAATGTCTCTGGTATCGGGCCAACAAGTTGGTTATGTGATAAGTTTAGAGACTTGAGCTGCCTCAGGAAACCTAATGGCGGAGGGATGGCGCCTGACAATTGATTCATGGACAGATCAATGCCCGTCATGAGCACTAGAGGCTCTCCCATGTAGGTAAGGTTCTCGCCTTTCGTCGTGAAGTCGACAGACATGCGCTCTGTGATATTGCCTGAGAATGGGTCATCGTTGAAGTACATTGGCAAATCTGTCCAGAAATCATTGTAGAAGCAATTTGGTATCTCCCCAGAGAATTGATTGTTGGAGAGATCAACAAAGTGGAGATAGTTGTTGAAGCAAAGGTCCAATGGTATTGGACCATGAAAATCATTCCCTCCAAGGAGGATCACACCAAGCTGTTGGAAGCTCAGGAGGCCATCCGGGATGATTCCTGATAGATGGTTGTTTCTCACATTGAGTGTCTTGAGATTACTGCTGTTCGACAGCAATGGAGATAGCCATCCCGAGAATCGGTTGTTCTCAAGGCTGAGGTGCTTCAAACTACCCAAATTCCAATGGAAAGGTGGCATAGGCCCTGTCAGGTCATTATTGGAGAGTAGAAGAGATGTTAGAATTGACAAATTCCCTATTAATGTTGGCAATATTTCCTCATTGAGGTTGTTAGATGACAAGTCAAGCACCTCCAATGATGTTGCCTCTGCCAATGATGGAATCCCACCGTACAACCTGTTGGAGGACATGTCACAGTAGTCCAAAAACTGAAAAATGCTTCCAAAGTTGGTCGGGATCGACATCGATATTTTGTTCTCTGACAAATCAAGCACCTGCACCGGTGAGGTATGTTACCACCAAGCCCATCCATATCAATGACATCCATTCTATTGCCATTGAGCAAGACAAAATCAGATAGATTGTAGAACAGCCAGGGTGGAATCCTGCCTTGGAGCGAACAATGCGAGAGATCGATCCCGGATAGGCTAAGCTGGGTTGACAGAAAAGTCGGCACAACTCCATTGCTTCGCCTATTGATAACACAGTTGCTTAAATTCAAGTATACCAGCTGGAACAACGGTGTCCATCTCACAAGCTCGGTTTCGATTTTCAGATTGTAGTTGTGTGAGAGGACAACATCAACGAGGTTTGAGCTGTTTGCTAGCCAGGAGAGCATGAATGTGCCGGTAAGATTGTTCACCCCCAGGTGTATAGTCTCCAGTTTGGTCAAGTTGATAAGTAAGTTCGGTGCAATCTCCCCCATGAGAAAGTTTCTTTCCATGTTCAGGTACTTCAATTGTTGTAGTTTTCCCAAGCATGAATTTATGGTTCCATGTAGCATGTTGACACCAAGGTGTAGGTACTCTAGTTGATGGAGGTTACATATACCTGCAAAACTAAAACACAAATATTGGATAAATTGCCCTGGATACTAACAAAAAGAGCGGAGATATACCGTTGTATCCGTGTAAGAAGTTCTGGGATAAATCAACCACCCTAAGAGACGTCAAATTGGATATCCAACTTGTTGTAAGTAACTGGTTTCCGCCAAGGTACAGCTCTGAAAGTGTAGTTCGGTTGATAACTAGAGCAGCAACGCCTTCATTTGTTAGACTGTTGTGCGAAAGCGAGAGCTTGCTAAGCTTCTGAAATGCACGCTCACCTAAATTGGTACATAACAATCTGAGTTATTCTATTTTATTGTGCATATTGTTAAAACATACTGGCAAGCAAAACTCTTTCTTTTTTTAAAAAAATGTAGAGTTAGACATGAATCGATATACTATATCCTTAAGTTCCCACTACTCAAATCGGCACTCAGATGTAGAGGTAAAATCCACGGGCCATGAGGACATAGGCCAAGATGGACCTCGAGCTTGGGCAGCATGGCACGGTTGTAGGAAATGGAGCTCTATCATTGGGGTAGGGTGCACAAGTTCAATCTTCTAGTTTTGGGTGATGCAAGCATAGATCAAGCTTAGCAGAGGGTGGACTCTCAGATAAGCACAACCAAGGGCTGAGTTCGTCTTTCTCAAATCTGGCTGCTATGGGTGACAGTTTCCCTAATGGGTGTAGAGACCCGCATCTAAGGGACGAGAGCAAAATCTGCACCTGCGAATCCATCAGCATGGCGCCCCGACATCATGAGGGCCTAGGGCCAAGAAACTAATCTCAATGGAGGAGGATATCTCCTCAAGTTACAAGAGAAAAACCCACAATATCAGGCTGGCCCAAATACTTGGAGTATAAAATGGATCTAAACTAATCCCCACATACCTTACTAGCTCAAGGATCGATGTGTATGTCCATGCACAACAACTCCCTCTCCCAGTCCCGAGTGACGCCACCCTCATTTTCATCGCACGAAACGTGCAGCTGCTGCTCCGCCGCCTCCCTCGGCTCCCTTGACTACATGCCTCCCACCACCACCCACCACATGCCCACCAACCTCACCTCCACACCACCTTTATGTGTCTTTGTTGCCTGCCAGCAACTAATGAGGCCTTGATGGGAGGTTAGGTCCCTAGCAAGACCAGGGGCGGGGCTTTATTTGGCACTGTTTTCTCCTTTAGGCCAGAGGTTGGGGGAGAAAGTCAAGGCTAAGGCTAATCTTGTCCAACCCAGCCCTGATCCACCCCGTTGCCAACCCTGCCAGTTGCTAGGATCTGAGTGCATTAGAGAGGCCTGCTACCGAGCTTCAGCTCTCTATTGTCATCTAGAGAAAGTAATCGTTGGAGCTCTAGGTGGACAGAGCTAGATCATGAGCTTGAGGTCAAGGGTTGAGCTGACGATGGCCATGGTGGAGGTCAGGAATTGGAGGTGGAGAAGAGATTGGAGAGACAGTAGCAAAAAGTGTGAGATAGCCTAGCCAAAGATATAAAAAAACAATATTTGGAGGGAGAGACATCCCCCAAATATTTTGTAGAAGGGAGGAACCGAACCTGGGATGACTAACTCACCAACCATGCTGCTAGCCACTAGACCCCGATAGTTTCCTCCAAGCCAAAGATATAGAGGTAGACAAAATAGACCGAGCCGAACAGATTGAGGGAAAAAAAACGAGACTGAGAAATTCAGTCATCAAAGTGTACTAACCAAATTTAGTCTGGTTATATGGCTCGGTTAACTGAAAATGGCCGAATTTCACTGTGCAGCCCAATAGCCCTATACAGCAATACAGCATGTATATGTGTAATTGTTTTCTGTGATCTTTTTGTCTGTAATTACATATTTTGCAGTCAGTTCGATGGTGTAATTGTTTCTTCACCAGTGATTTTTATTTTGGCTGTGAACACAAAGCGCTTAGTTCAGTTGTGACCAAGGCTGAACCAGACTGACCAAAGTAGTCGATCTTCGATTTTGTTCAGGATTAATCTGTCTCAAGAATCTGATGACCGAAATTTCACTAAAGACTGAAGGCCGAGACCAAATTGTTCGGTCTGACTAAATGCCCACCCCTATCCAAAGATATATATGGTTTTAAGCAAAAATATTGGACAAAAGATGATCAAATTGAATCTTTGCTAGAAAAATACATTGCCCAACCTGCAATTAGCTCTTTTTTAACAAGGAAAATGCTTTTCCTTGTGTACCCAACTCGAGGAAAAAAACAGACATTGGGCCAATACTATGTGGGAGCACGTAGACATACAACGATAAGTAAAAGATTAATAACATGTGGGTATCAATTTTTTTTTCTTGTAATTTAGTGCATCCACCAAAAATAATTATATCCAAACCAATTGGTTGAACCACACCTCTGATATAACCGTTTACGTTTATGTCCTCACTTTACATAGAAAATTTTAAATTCGGCCACGCTACTGCTAATGCTGCTCGCGAGATGGGACCATCAGGGGTGGACCTAGGGGTGGTGCCGGGTATGCACCGGCATACCCAAATATTTCAGAGAAAATATAGGATGTATTATTCATTTGTGGCTTAAATAGATGCCCTTGTTCCTAGGCAAACGGAAGACCAAATGACCTACTTGGTCTGGCAACTCTCGCTGTCTAGTTGTCTTGGGCATTTATGTTGGTCAGTTGGTGGTGCAAACAAAGTAGCGGAAACAATGGCCATACAGTATATTGTGGCGGCCGACCACGGCGAGGCTGAGACCAACACAGACCATGTTACGCCGGCACCAATGGCCTGGAGCCTTGAATATCTGAAATAGTAGTCTTTTACCCTTCTATAACTTATTTCCTTTGAATATCTGATCCTTCGACCAGTGTTACTTGGTTCAAATTTATCCAAACTAAAATGCAAAATCATTGAGCTACAAATTAAATTCTACTACTTTTAAGATAAGTCCTAGCCGTACACACTAAAATAACCTTGAACTGTTTGAGTGACAATAGATACGGATATACATGCTTAGCTGCTCTCTTGGTGAAAGGCTTTCCAGTGTTTCTGTAATTTGTATGATTAGATCGAATTGAATCAATTAAATATGAAGAGCAACATGTGTGTTCTTTCAATTCGAAGGGCATTCCCCATGGGTTGTGACAACGGACCAACCAGGGTGAAATGGGTTCTTTCAAAAAATTTCTACGTTTTACCAACTTTTCATGAACTAATTTAACTAAATTTTGATCAAATTTCATAATTTTTTTGCTACCTACAACATGGCAAGTTTTAGTTAAAGAATGGTATCATACAACCCTAACGTGGGCACAATGTCCAAAGGCCTGCTGCTTGCTGCCAGCAAGCACTTAACGCTAGCAAAGCTCGGCGAACCAAAGCAGCCCAAGCCCACTAGCTCAACAGCTCTTCTCTCCTTTTTCTTTCTCTCGGCCTCTAATGATCATCACAATCACTTATTTAATAATCCAATTATATCATTGAATTCGTATCCATAAAATCTCACATGAAGTTTGACGATAATAATAATTATATTTTAACCATTAAAATTAGATTTGTTGTTTTATATATGCACGAGACAAAATATTCAACATACTGTCCTATATATCTTTTAAATATTTTAATAGTAACTATTATTTTCATAATGTACAGTTTAGTGTTTCGCTGATAAAAAAACTGTAATTAATATGATTAAAATAAGATTAAGCCCGCAGAATCCATATAGGCATGCACACAATCATGCTGGTTGAGATTAAAATAAAATCAATTCCATCAT